AGCAAGGATTTAGTACATTTTGTGCTTGCCTTTGTAAAAAATATTCTCGTTAGATAAAAGTGCAAAACGAACGAGAAACTATTAAACAACAATTTATATAAAGCTCACATCTTGCCAGCAAATAAAAATAAATGTTGTTACAGCATTAGAATCGTGCTTAAAATGTTTTCAAATGCATTGCGATGTAAGCTGTGACATTTAAATACAAATTTATGCAAGCTGGAGCTCAAAGAAAAAATAAATTTGACAAAAACTTGAGTTTATTAAAGCAAAATAATAAAGCTGAGAAGTCGGTCAAGTTGGATGCTGACAAAATATTTTATTTTTTTAAATTATTTTGAATGATGCTTAAGGCTCAAAAATTTACACATTTCTCGTGTGTGCAGAGTGTTGGCCTGTGCTCGGCTGACTTTTGCCTTAGGCCTCTCAAGGTATCAGCCATACGTGTGGGGCAAGCGTTGAGCCTTGAGTCTTACGACATAAGCCTAGCCAGCGAGACGTCTGACTTGATGATAAGACTGCAGCTGCAGACATGTGTGAGCGTGTGTGTGTGTGTGTGTGTGTGTGTGTGCGTGTGCGTGCGTGTGTGAAGCCTTTAATAAGAAACTTATGTTAATGACTTTCACTTTCGGCAGCTGACTGCCAGCTAAATGAAGGTTACGGCCTGGCCTTCCAGTGCAAGGCTGAAGTCTGACTGAATGAAGTTGCGCAAATCATCATCCAATTAGAGCTGTAAAATTATACTAATTACAACTTTGGAATTAGAAATATGCTAATGCCAAGAAGGCACTGACGCGACGAGATCGAGCCGGCAAAGTTTTATGATTAAAAATTGCTAAAGTTAAATGTGTCACACACAGTGTGAGGTTGGGTAGGGTAGGGCAGGGTAGGGAGAGCGAGTGGTCGAGCATGGGCACTGCTGTCTCTATAGCTCTATAGAAAGTTGCATACATTTGCCTAAATTATATTGACATCTAACAGTCCCGCTGCAAGTTGCCTGCAAGGCAGCTGATAAGTGAGCTAAGCGCTCGCTTGTGGGGAAAGAGGTTAAGTGTGCGAGAGAGGGGGAGGGGCAAAGCGAGCGAGAGAGAGAGAGAGAGAGATAGAGATAGTGAGTGGGACACACATGAAAGGCCGCCAAAGCCATGCATAAATTACGAAAAGTTGCAACAAAACGGTTTGTAATAATTAAAACAAAATATGCTCCAAAAATTCAACTTTAAACTTTTGTCTAGTTAGCACATCAAAAAAAAAAAAGAAGAGAAATAGTTGAGAAGCTGTCTGGCAAATTTTGAAATAATGCTGAGTTTGACAACTAAACGGCTGCTATGGCGTATACTTAATATGCCATAAAGCCAACGCACTTTAATATACATATATCAGAATGTGAAAGCTGATTACAGGGGACAGACTTTTAAGTAGGGTTATTCACTATGGGATACTTAACATGATGAATATTTAATATGCCGTTTGCCCAATGCACCGTAATATAGGCGAATGATTGTGTTAGATTTGGCTATAAAATTATTGACTTAAATATGTACATACATATATCGGAGGAATAGTCTCTTGAGGCCTACGAGGCTCAGGTTAAGAAATTTACTCAGCATTTTGAGCAGAGCAAATACATATAAAATTATTGTAAGCTATGTTTTCAACATATATAGATTAAACAATCAAAATTAAATAGTCTTTTATCAATACATGGATGTGATAGTTAGCTTAAGTAACTAAACTGACATTAATGTAAATAAAAAA